GGGATCATGACCTGAGCCGAAGGCAGACGCTTAATGACTGAGCCACCCAGGCGCCCCATAAAATCTTTTTTTAAAAAATTGTTTTATTATGAAAATTATACTAGCCCCATAAAGTGAGCTGGGGAGAGGTTCCTCCTATTTTATTCTCCAGAAAAGTTGATAAAATTTGCATTTGTTCTTAAACATTTTATAAAAGTCACTGGTAAATATCTTTATTCAGGAATATTCAAATTTTTATTCCTTCTTGCATAAGTTTTAGCATTCTATTTTTCTAGGACTTTGCTAATTTCATCTATAATTTTCAAATTTATTTGGTATGAGGTTGAATACATAAGGATCCATAGAAATGTCACTTTTCATTCCCAGTGTTGAGTATTTCTGCATTTTCTCTCTCTCTCTTTTTTTTTCCTTGATCAGTCTCATAAGAAGTTTTTCAATTTTATTATTCTTTCCAAAGTATCACTTTTTGGTTTTGTTCCTCTATATCATTTTTTTTAAAAATCTACCATTGATTTCTTTTCTTCTCTTCTTGATTTCTATCCTTCTTCTACTCTCTTTGGGATTCATTTGCTATTTTTTTTCTAAATTCTTAAGACAGATGCTTTAGTTCCCTGACTTTAATCTTTCTTCTCTGACTTTAATCTTTCCTCTCTTCTTTTTTTTTTTTAAAGATTTTATTTATTTATTTGAGAGAGAGAGAATGAGAGAGAGCATGAGAGGGAGGAGGGTCAGAGGGAGAAGCAGACTCCCTGTCGAGCAGGGAGCCCGATGCAGGACTCTATCCTGAGACTCCAGGATCATGACCTGAGCCGAAGGCAGTCGCTTAACCAACTGAGCCACCCAGGTGCCCCAATCTTTCCTCTCTTCTAATATATATATTTACAACTAAAAATTTCTCTTTCAGCATAGCTTTGGCTACATACCATGAGCTTGACAGGTGATGTATTTATTAACATTTTAAAATGTTTTGTAATTTCTGGGTGCCTGGCTGACTCAGTTGGAAGAGCATCTGACTCTTGATCTTGGGGTTGTGAGTTTGGTGTAGAGATTACTTAAATAAAATCAATCAACAATCAACCTTAAAAACAATGTTTTCTGATTTCCATTGTAATTTCTTCATTGACTCACAGATTACTTAGGAGCATACTGTCTGTTTTCCAAACATTTCAGAGATTTTCTACTTATTGTTATTGATTTTTACCTTAATTCCACTATGGTCAATGAACATACTCCATTTTCTTTTAATCCCTTTAAATGTGTGGAGACATGCTTTCTGGCCTAACATATATTGAATTTTAGTGAATTTTCTCTGATCAGAGAGAATCAAGCTAAAAATATCATCATTTGGTGTTACTTTGTCTCTTTCTTACCTTTTTTTTTTTAAAGATTTTATTTATTTATTTGAGAGAGAGAGAATGAGAGAGAGCACATGAGAGGGGGGAGGGTCAGAGGGAGAAGCAGACTCCCTGCCGAGCAGGGAGCCCGATGCAGGACTCGATCCAGGGACTCCAGGATCATGACC